TATAAATTAGAATGAAGTTAGTGTGTATTTAGTTCGTGCCCGTCCGTTAGGCTATACAAAATAGCTGTAAGAAATAGAAGGGATATGGTATCGCTTCGAAAAAAAAACTACACGTATGAGCATAAGGGTGTACATAAGCTGTGCCAAGTTTAATAGCGTATAGCATGAATTTAATAATCCATATGTATACAATGAAGAGGAAGAATTATAATTAATAATCAAAGTAGCAGAAAATTATCAGTAAAAGATTGTAGCGACATAACGTTGCGGCCATCTTACTCTGCGACCAGATTTTGTCGTTATCGGAGTCTCTTCGTTTTGGTGCGTTAGCGTCGTTGACTCCTGAGATTCGTGTTTCGTAGGTGTGATCGTCTTCGAGAGGCTTGTGCTTGTCGATTGAAAATCGCTATCGATGAAAGCTGGCTTCACACGATCGATACTGATTACGTCTGTCTTCCCAGCTTTTTCTACCGTGACTGTCTTATCTGTCTTCGTAATCACTTTAAATGGACCTTCATAGTTCGGCTGCAGAGGTGGTTGTACGTTGTCTCTTCTGATAAATACGTGCGTGCTATTATGTAGTTGCTGAGGTACGAATACTCGACGTTGTTGTAGTCTGGGAAGTGCTATTTTTAAATCGCTCATGTGTTTCTTCAGGCGTTGGACGTAGTTGGCTACATCAGTCGGAACACTTTTACCTGAAGCGAAAAATTCTCCGGGTAAACGTAAAGTAGTTCCATATACCAACTCGGCTGGACAACATCCCATATCCTGTTTAATTATTGTTCTTAAACCTAACATGACTAAAGGAAGCTTATTAGCCCAATCGTTATTGACAATGACAGATGTAAGGGATGCTTTCAACTGCCTATGTAGGCGTTCAACCATTCCGTTTGCCATTGGATGGTAGGATGTCGTTCGTATACGTTTAATTCCGAGGAGTTCTGTAAGCTGCTGGAAGAGTCGACTTTCGAATTGAGCTCCTCTATCGGTCGTGATAATTGCCGGTATACCATAGTGAGAAATCCAATTCTCGATTAGGGCTTTTGCTACAGATTCGGCTGAGGTGTCTTTGATTGGCACCGCTACAGGCCATCGGGTAAATCTATCGATGCATGTAAAAATATAGTTGTACCCGTTCGAAACTGGCAGTGGTCCCACGATATCGATGTGTATATGTTCGAATCGAGTGTCTGGCTGTGAAAACGAACCCATTGGCGAACTAGTATGACGATGTACTTTGGCTTTTTGACATTTCATGCATGCTTGCGTCCAATTTCGTATATCGCGATTCATTTTCGTCCATACGAAACGCTCACTGATTAATTTCATCGTGGCTTTTATTCCCGGGTGCGATAGGTTATGGATACTTTCGAATACTTTCCGTCGCAATGGTTTAGGAATGAATGGGCGAGGTCGGCCAGTTGACATGTCACATATTACTTTCGCGTTGCCGAACTGAATATCTTCGAATAATAATGACGTCGTGTCATCGAATCTTAGCTTGTTTAGTTCGATGTCTATCTCTTGTAACTTCGCGAGACCGTGATAATCAATTCCATTTGTAATAATCGCGTTTATCGTTGTTCTGGACAACGCATCTGCCACTTCGTTATTATTACCTTCAATATACTGTATGCTAGAAGTAAATTGGGAAATAAATTCTAATTGTCGAATTTCCCTCGGCGAATAGTTATCCTGCTTGGCGTTTAATGCTTTCGTGAGGGGTTTATGGTCTGTATACACTGTAAAAATGGTACCCTCTATCATGTGTCGGAAATGTTTGATTGCCAAGTAAATCGCTAATAGTTCTCTTCCGAACGTACTGTACCTCGTTTGTGTAGGGTTTAATCTCTTCGAGAAAAATGAAATCGGTTCCCATGTACCGTTTACTAACTGCTGCAGTACAGCTCCTACTGCTATGTTCGATGCGTCCGTCATGATGGCTAGTGGCGCTTCGCTCTTTCGTCGAACTAATATCATTTTCTCATGAAGTGCTCGCTTAGCGTTCTCAAAAGCCTGTATAGCCTCTGTCGATAGATGGAATGTTCGGGTATTTCCTCGCAAAGCGTCCGTTAATGGCTGTAGTATTGCTGCGCAGTTTGGAATAAATCGCCTATAGTAGTTTATTAGTCCCAGGAATCGTCGTAACTTTTTTTGTGACTCGGGCAACGGATAATTGCGAATAGCAGCAACTTCCGCTGGAACTGGCATGATACCTCGAGAATTTATCATATGACCTAGGAATTGCAATGATTTCTTTCCAAATTCACATTTCTCCACGTTAATAGTGACACCATATTCTTGAAGTCTCGTGAATAACTGTCGTAGATGTTGTAGATGTTCTTCGACGGTAGCGCTAGCTACTAATATATCGTCGATATATGCGTATACCCCTGTCAAACCTCTAACAACCTGATTAATAAATCGCTGAAAGGTTTGAGCTGCATTAGTTAATCCAAATGGCATTCGTAAAAACTCAAATAAACCAAATGGAGTGATTACGGCCGTTTTCGGTATGTCTTCTGGGGCCACTGGAATGTGGTAGTACGCCCGAACAAGATCAATTTTCGAAAAAATCGTAGCACCTTCTATTTCGGTAGTGATATCGTGAATATGTGGCACTGGGTATCTATCTGCTATCGTTTGCTTGTTAAGGGCTCTATAATCTCCACATGGTCTAATTTCTCCATTCTTTTTGGGAACCATATGTAACGGAGATGCCCAGGGACTATTAGATGGCCTTATGATACCAAGTTTCATTAGTTTTTCGAATTCTCGTTTTGCAATGTTTAACCTTTTTGGGTCCAACCTTCGCGCTCTTACTCTAGTCGGTGGACCTTTCGTGACGATATGGTGCTGTACTGTATGTTTAAGATCTTTATTGTCGTATGATGACCTCGTTAAGTCGGCGAACTTATTTAGAAGTGACTTATATTGCTCGTTCTTATCTTTCGACACTACTAAATTCATAGATACATGATCAGTGGTCACTCCTCTTATGACTACTGAGCGTTCCCCATTCACTAGTTGGTTTCGTCGAGAATCCACTATTAGGTCAAAATTCTTTAAGAAATCGATACCAATTATGGGTACGGAAACATCAGCGATTACAAATTCCCAGCGAAGTGAAATATTACGGCCGAAATTCAAGGTTAGTTTTCGCTTGCCATATGTCTTTATATCGGATCTATTCGCTGCTTTAAGAGTTAGCGCAGTATCGATATTTTGTTTTTCGTTGCTCAATGGAGGGACGACGCTTATCTCTGCTCCCGTGTCTACTAAAAACTGCGCGCCCGTTACTCTGTCCTGAACATAGAATAAACGATTGCTCGTGGGAGCTGCGTTGATTTTCGTAGTCGTTACTGAGAATCGTTGGGATCGTTTAAATTTGCATGGAGACCTGCATTTTCGAGCTCTGTACCCAAATGTTTGATGGTACCAGCATATAGCAGGATCTGGTAGTCCCTTAGAAAATGATCGGTTTCTATCTCTTGATCTGCTGCGCGACCAACTTCTTTTCCTGTCGTTGTGATTTAGACTCGTTAGTTTATGGCATAGCGCATTAATTTCCTTTTGCAAGGCCTCGATTCTTTCGTCAACTGTGAAGTTGAGTGTTTGTGAAGTCGCATTTCTCATTCTCTCGTAAATCTTATCGGCTATTTTAGCGATGTTGTCTATGTCTACATCGCTATCTCCAACAGCGAGGATCTGCTGTACGTTCGGTGGGAGTCGTCGCAACCATAAGTGGTAAAATATATTTTTATCCACATTTCTGTCTCCAATTACGTTGCTCATATACGTTTTTAACTGCGAAGGCGTTCTATCTCCGATTTGAACTTCACTGAGCAACTGCTCGACAGCCTGCCGGTCGTTTAACGAGAGAGCTTTTATTACGGCCTGTTTCAATACGTCGTACGGATTTACCGCATCCGGCTTAGTTAGGACCTCTCGTACCTTGACTGCTACTTCATCTGGAAGTAGTGAGCTTGCATAGCCGAACTTATGTCGCTGTAAAAGAATACGATTGGCTACGAAGTAATTTTCAAGTCTAATAAACCAGAGTTGAGGATCATTAACATTAAAAGAGGGAATAGTAACATTAATAACTCCCACGGATGGTGACTGTGAAAGATCGATTGTTTCGTTATTTAAAGACATTACTACTAATAATAATAATAAATTAAATAGTATGCGAATATAACGTAATTGTCACTGAGAGAAATGAATCGATGAAAAAAATGATAATAACAAAAGGTACAATTTATAAAATGGAACAGACTTACTAAATTGCACCAATATATCAATTGTTCGTGAATAATCGTTATTTATTATGAATATTATCGTTAAGTTCAATAATGGGATAATGTACGTACGATTAAAATTGTGATATAATAAATCCACAATTATGATTATAATCCAGATAATAATTCGAATAGAAACAGAGTACGTTGAATTTTCGAAATGAAATTATCTCGTCGAAAATTGTTTTGTGTTCGCTCGTCGAGGCATCCAATTCTGTAGTGTCGTGTTCGTATGGCGAGGCAACCAATTATATTGCGTCGTGCTCGTTCAGCGAGATATCCAATTCTATTGCGTCGTGCTTGTTCGGCGAGGTATCCAATTCTATTGCGTCGTGCTTGTTCGGCGAGGCCTCCAATTCTGTAGTGCCGCGATTCGTTAACCGTTTACTTCGATAACCGTTATAATTCTAAACTTAACGGTGCGTAAAATCAGAAGACAAAGGATAGCAGCAACTACAGTTTATTGTCGAATGACTCAGGTTCGAAAGCTAACAACACCTGAGCGAATATGAACGAGCGAGTGAACAGGCAAACAAGCGAAGGAAACGAACGAGGACCAAGCGAGCGAGCGAGCGAAATAGCAAGCAATTACATAGGCAATTTATAGTCAAATTTAATACGGGCACAGCAAAGCAAAACAAAGGCTGATAATAATATTTGCGTGCGTACATATATGGGTAGGAGTATGAGTCATCGAATGATATTTAAGCAGTCAACATTTCGGCTAGAGTGTCATGTGCTCTAGTGTTATTGCAGTGCAAAGAATATGCAAATTGTTACTATCCAAATGACAATGTCTGTTAAGTAAGTTATAAAAAAGGGCTTAACCAAAATTGGCTATAATCGAAATTGATTGTAGGATGGTTGCTATAAATTAATCAATATAAATATCTCAATTTTATGGCAGTAACATAAATAGATAAGTTAAAACATCCCTAACTGGAAAAGTGGGTGATATGGGCTCAAATTCAGTAAGGAGATCTAATGACTACTCCAAGATTACAGATAGTCTTTCTGGATAAGGTTAACCTACCATATGAGACATATCATGTAAGGTTTGTCGATAAATACTTCTATTCATTCAATACCTAATATTTCTGATTTCTATAAGTGTTGAGGTTTTGTTCATCCAATTTACGAAATTCCAATTCCATTTCTTTGATAATATATAATAACATCATAGTGTGTACTACTGATATGGACAGATATAAGTAGTATGTATCATTAATCAAAAGTGAAATGACTGACAACACAAGATCGAAGAAAGACAAACGAGAATAGAGAATGATTGGAATAGAAACGAAAGAACAATCAAATCAGAGACTATTAGCCGACATTTTCTAAATGAAGTATTTACTATATGGATTTCAGATTTTACTGAAACATTCTGTGTTCCAATGCATTCGATTGTCCCCATTTGTGAGTTCTCGTTCAGTACAGTACCTCAAGATGTGTAAATCATTTTATTCTAATTTTTTGTACTTCATTTATACAAACAGGAATGACTGGAAATGAATATGTTATTAATATCAGAAGGGGTTTTCTGGATATTATAGTAATATTAATGGTTGAAATCATGAGTCAATTGAAGCTAGATTACCATGGAAAACCTGGAAGTACTAGACGGTCATTTCGTCCTATTGTGGGACTCCTCAGCAGGGCGCATCCACGATCCCGCCTCCCGAAACTCGAATCCAGGACCTAACAGTCTTGCGCGCGAGCGCTTAATCACTAGACCACTGAGCTGGCAGGCATCCAATGGTGTTAATGTCTAACTTCAACCAATCCACGAAATTGAGCGACACACCCACCATTGTCTTTAGTGAGTTACTTTCTCACAACAGACCTTGTTGAACTCCACTGGTCACTCCTTCTCACTAGAACTCCATGAAATACCTATTGAAGCCAGTCATTAGTGAACATGTACAGTAAGTAGTATAAACTACATACGACTAGATTCGTCTCATTGATAAAGTGACATTTTCAACATTGAAAAATTCCCATACTGATTTAAAACAACAAAAATAAGCGAACAATATTGTTTTCAATTAAATCCTTATCACATATAGCAGAAGCTATAGGAACTTGAGCCAACATTCGAAGTCTTTGTGTTCATAAGAGATTGGTAACACCCTTTATCTCTCCCTTGATTTTATTTATTATTATTTTCTTCACCCCCTCCTACCCTTTAGTTTTTCTCTTAAATATTTGCTTTACGGTCCAATTATCTGACCACATCTGATTACGTAATCTTATGATTTTTATGAATGTTATTTCAATGCCTAATCATTGACCTCATTCCCACTATGAAACATGGATACAAGCCTTTGTTGTTGTTATCACAACTAATACACCTATCATCACACTACCAGTTCGTACTTTTCACTTATTATGTTGAGTTGTGTAATCTATTTCACTGTTATCATTGACTTATAAACTACCTTGATTGGTTTAATAATTTCGTATATGCATATAAATATTACTGTGTATTCGAGTAAAGTCTAATGAGGATCTAATCAAAAACAATACTTTAACATTTGAGATCATGAATCAATTGAAGCCCCAAAATGCCCTGGTACAGACCAGAGTCGGGAGAGTCCTCTCTCCCTCTTCAAATGCTTTCACATGGCCACGAGTATATAACCTTTACAAGGGAAATCCCACTCACTGCCTTCTCGTGGCATTACTGTTGTTTACGAAATTGAGAGGAGAAAAAGTTAATGCCCGGCGCTTTAAGCGGGTTGGTGGACACGGAAAGTTCACCTAGGGGGGGGGGGGGTTGAAAAACCACAATTGCAAACAAATGGTACACATGGGATCCAGTATCCTGGTGGAACAAATGGCGTATGAACCAATCATTGGGACTGTATCTCTTTACGATGCTCCTCTGTCTTGTGGATCAGATCTTCATGTCAAAGGTTCCGGATGTGGCCCCTAAGAAAACCACCTGCTTCAGTTTGGACACCTGCGCAGTATCACAGCCCTCACATAAATCAAATAAGATTTGTGTGGCGCATATATATCTGGTGCCTTTTTGTACCAATATTTATGTGTTTAAATAAATAAACCATGGAAAATCTGGTATCACTAGACAGCTATTTCGTCCTATTGTGCTTCCAAGTTTTCCATGTTGGTCTAGTTTCAATGGATTCACGATCTCAACTATTCAAATAAAAATATCGCTTACTTTATAAATTAATTATTCCAAATCAAGAACCATTCAACAGTGTTGATGTTAACTATTGTTTATATACATAAAGTGAATGTAACTGTTGTTTGCTTGTTTGTTTGTTTGTTTTCTTGGCATCAAATAAGTTGATCTAATTAACCATAGTGACAATATTTGAATGAATGTATATCCAAATTTGTTTGAATAATAATTATACCGGAAGTTGATAATTTAAATATAAATATTTATATATTGGGGATGTGTTTTTTTTATGTAATAAATAGTTTCTAAGTGTTTATATTGTTGTATCCAAGTGGAGATTAAATTACGGATATCATTCTTGGATCATACTTAGTACATTGATCATAGTCTCCAACGTTCATTTGCAACTTTCTTTTGGCTTGATCTTGTATAAGTAGAGACTGTATTCGCGAGATTGATAGGTCCTGGGTTCAAATCTCACTAGGTGGGATCGTGGATGCGCACTACTGAAGAGTCCTATAGCAGAACAAAACACCCGTCCAGTGCTTCCAGGTTTTGCATGGTTGTCTAGCTTTAATTGATTCATGATTTCAACTATGATATTATATTATTTTTTTATTTTATTGTGTGATGTGATCTGTTTGGCTTGTATATAGATCAGGTATGTTTGAAATAAATGATTCGCATAGTAGAAGCTGTTATTAGTGTTCTGGACTTAACTGGCAGAGCTAGGAAGATAAAGGACCAATAAGAATGCTAGGCTTCTCATATCGGTCAAATGTAATTGGTTTAGCACAGTACTAAAATAGGATATATTGTCACATTTCAATGAGTAAATAAATTATATGATAATTAGCCGAGCTAAAAGACACAATACATACTATCATTTAGGTTAACATTTTAAGTCATTGAAGTCAGATTAGTCTGTGTAGAATATATAATTTTACTACATTGTCCGTAATATGGCATAAACGGATTCTACTCTCTTCATTCTTGTTTAACTTTGTCGTAGACATACTTTTAGAGATAACAGTTTCCTCACTTAAATTTAGAGGGATTAAACTTCTATCAGGAGATTCATTTATCGACTTAGAATATACCGATGACATGGTTCTATTTGTGAAAATGCTGACAAAATGAAGAGTCTTCTGACCACTATAAGCAACAATGCAGGCATGTTCGGGATGGGATTCTCCCTTTCGAAATGCGAAATGTTACTTCAGGATTGGGTTACATGGACACCCGAACTAATGATAGGGAGTGAAGTAGTTGAGCATGTAGACTACTTCACTTATCTTGAGAGTCTCATCAGCCATTGTGGTCTGGTGTGTGACGAAATCTTAGCACGGATACAGAAGGCCCTTCTGGCTTTCACTAATTTACGTCATTTACGGCATAGGCGAGATATCCGTCTACCAACCAAAGGAAGGGCTTACTGTACAGCAGTTCGTTCCGTCCTACTTTATGGCAGTGAAACATGGCCGGTAAGAGTAGAGGACATTCGTAGACTGCTTGTATTCGATCATAGGTGTCTTCGAAGCATTGCTCATATATCCTGGGACCACCGAGTAAGTAATGCAGTTGTTAGGAAATCGGTACTAGGTAAGGATGCAAAGTCGATTGATTAAGTAGTGGAACTTCATCAGTTGACATTGCTGGGACACGTGTTACGTATGTCCAACCACCGACTACCCGGACGTGCAATGTTTTATGGTGTAGGAGTAGGTTGGAAGAAAGTTAGGGGCGGTCAGACTAAAATGTAGCGCAAATCCATGAAGTCACTGACAAGTGGACTGAGTCATGTTGGTAGGTGTAGACTACCTGGTTGGGATTCGCGAGATGATAGCAACCGATGGTTAGAGACCCTGAATGACATGGCTGAAAATCGTTTGCAATGGTGAAAGTGCATCCACTCTTTGTGTTCTGCCAAAATCTAATCTTCTGAATTCTTTATGTCTCTATCTTTTTTCTCTTTCCAAATTTATTTCACTGAACTACGGTCCTTGAATAACATCTTCAAACCCTAATCTTTCCGATTACTGCTCATACTTTTACTACCTCTATAACTATGGGATTTGAATAGACAGTTGTACTCATGCTATACTACACTAATGTATCTTCAACATAACTTCCAACCAAACCCTTTAATGTAAGTAATTTAACCCTATTATGTAATTATGATTTTAAATATAACATGTTGTAAGCAGCTGACGAGAACAAACAAAATAAAACGAATTCATCCTATACAGCTAGAATCTTTTTTCTTGTTCTTTTCAAAATTGTATTTCTGTGCTAAGGTGGTATGGCAACTTCAGCTGATGTACGTACGTACGAAGTTCCACGTTGTTGCTGGCTGACTGAATGAGGATAGATGGATTTTAGTCAGTAATCTATTTTGCTCCATTTAGGGCTCTTGAGCTGGATGCACCCATGTAGTGAATGAGAACACAAGTGGGGACAAACGAATATATTTAAATACAAAAATACAAAACATCTTAGTAAAATCTGAGAACCATACAATAAATACTTCATTTGAAAAATGTCAATCAATTGTCTCAGACTTGATTGTTCTTATGTTTCCACAGCAATCATTCTCTGTTCTTGTTCGTATTTCTTCGATCTTCTTAACCTTCTGCTTCCAGGTATTTCACTTTCGATTGATGATACATGCTACTTATATCTGTCGACATCAGTAGCACACATCACATCTTATATTCAACCGTTGATATTCACGGAGAGTCTCCAATTGAGTCCATTCCACTTCCAACAGTTACCACATTATCCACTGAGTTATTGAGTCCATATAACTAATTAATTCTGCAAAGGCTATGAAAGTCACACATCATTGTTAGAAAGGATTCAAAATTTCCTATTATTGATATTCTTAACTTAACTGGCATATATTCGTCCTGTGTTGATTGCATCGATATGACCATTTTATTAAAAGTTTTATGTAGTTTAGATGGATTATGGCTATATTGAGGCAGTCCACATAGTTTGTGTATATATCACCAAAAAAACTGATTTAAACTAAATTCACTTAGTATTACTTGTTCGAATCTTCCCATTGATGTTTAGGACTGCAATTGGTCAGTCTCTTATTGGCATATGTGCATACTGTGCGTATTGCCTCAGGACTCAGTGGCCGGCCTATCGAGGGATCCAAGTCGTTATCTGGAGCGTAATCTTATTGTAGTGATGATCATAGTCAATCGTGACTCGACGCCATCTACATTTGGTAAGCCAACTTTTCATAAAATATGTCTTCTAAAAGATCTTCAATGACATGGTGAAGGATGGATGATTATATAGATCAGAGAACAATACCACCAAAAGCAACTACCTGATTCATATATATATATATATATATATATATATATATATATATATATATATATATCCTATTTATCCTGTTAGATGTCTGGGGAAATAAAACAAATTTATCCTAAACTCTTTCTGGAGGATTCTGAGTATCGTGATCTTGATCATGTTAAAATCTTCTGTCTTATAAGAAAGAAGAGCATTGGCTCCCTTTTGAAATCCTTTTTATATAAAACTTTAGGAAATCACAAAGGCGTGTACTTTAGTTTCCTAACCTTTGTCATAGAATTCACCGTCTTCTTGTCTATGTATATGTAATGTTTGTATTGAGTGATTCGTGGGATTGGTTAGTATAGACTTAATTTGTAATCATTCACATTTTCTGCAAGGGACTTTTTCTTAGTGGTTGATTCTATGTCAAGCCCACATAGGTCATTCTAGATTCTGAACAGACCAATCGATTCATTCTTCTCAAACCACGTTTTGACCTTATTACTTATCGGCTTATTAATCCTGACTGTTTTTTTTATATGATCGTAGGTATGTTAATTGGTAGTATCATCGATGAACAAGGAGGATCTGATATAGACATAAACGCAAGGATGGACAAGGCAAGAACCACATTCCTACAGTTGAAAATCTTATGGAACTCAAAATAATTGTCACCCAATATCAAAGTCACAATCTTCAATACGAACGTCAAGACACTTCTACTGTATGAAGATGAAACTTGGAGAACTATCAAAACCATCATAAAAAAGGTATAAGTATTTACAAACAATTGTCTACGTAAGATACCCAATATGTGTTGGTCGGCTACCATCAGTGACAACCTTCTGTGGGAGAGGACTAGCCAACTTCTATGTGAGGAGGAAATTAAGAAAGGGTGTTTGAAGTAGATAGGACGTACATTAAGAAAATCATCAAAGTGCAGAGACGTCAGAGACGTTACCAGTGTCAAGCCACCTAGACTAGTGGCCACATTGCAACTTGATCGATAGCATTCGATCAGCACTAAGAAGGAATTGACACGCATGACATTGATCACCACCTAGTGATCAATCAATTGTGATTATTCACATATACTTATCGCTAGAAATAATTTAGTCTCTATTATGGGAAATGATTTTTCTTGTAAACATTATTATATTTGACCCCTAATCGTTTCCAATCTTAACTAATGAAAAAAAAATATTCATCATAAAAGTCAATTAATTTTCCATCCGAATCTTTTTCTCTTCTTCCGATTCGAATATCATTTTTAAGGTCATACTATAGTGAACATGAACACGGGTGGGGACAATCGACAATACACTACTTATATTGGATATAAGTAACCCACACCACAATACCAACAAAATTCATTAATTATGCCCGAAATGTAATTGTAAGTAATTAAATAGTTCGAAGTTATCATGGAATACGTAAATTGACCAAAATAATCCTGTCATAAACGAATTAAAACCGGAATTTTCAAATTATCAGCATGATCAAAATCACTTTGAAATAATAAATGGTTAAATAAATGAAAATATTTACTTCAGTAAACTGAATTGAACTAAACATATTATCAAAAATTTACTTTACTTAATAATTACGCCTGTTACTCCTAATGGAGCATAGGCCGATGACCAGCATTCTCCAACCCACTCTGTCCTCGGCCCTCCTTTCTAATTCTGTCCAACTTTTGTTCATTATTCTCATGTCTGTCTCCATTTCTTGGCGTAATGTGTTCTTTGGTATTTTCCTTCTCCTTTAACCTTCAGGATTCCATGTGATGAGGGCTTGCCTCGTGATACAGTTGGGTGCTTTCCTCAATGTATATCCTATCCACTTCCAGCGCTTCTTCCTGATTTCCTCCTCCACTGAAATCTGGTTTGTTCTCTCCCAGAGTAAGTTGTTACTGATAGTGTCTGGCCAACAGATCCGAAGTATTTTGCGTAGACAACTGTTGATAAACACCTGTATCTTCTGGATGATCGCCTTCGTAGTTTTACAGATTTCTGCCCTATACAGTAGAACTGTTTTGACATTTGTATTGAAAACTCTGACTTTGGTGTTGGTTGACAGACAGTTGAGTTCCAGATGTTGTTCAGTTGTAAATATGCTGCTCTTGTTTTGCCGATCCGCGTCATCCCATCTGCATCAGATGTTCATATCTAAATACAAACACAGAAGTTGATGTTATGGTGGGAACGAAAACTTGTTGGAAATTAATAATAGACTCTTCAGTCTATCCAGTTGCATCAAG